GAGCAATCGATGAGGAACATCTTCGAAACCTAGTTTCTAGTATGCCACGCAGACCCTTTGATGTTGCTATTAAACAAGGAGGAGCTATAGAATATTAGGTGTTGTGCATATGCCACCAACGTTAACAAATCATTTACTTCCTCAGGGTGACCTTATAATTATGAAACGGTGCAAAAGCCGGCACTATCTTTAGAAAATTCATAAAAAATCTGAGGTAAAGGATATTGCGACCAAAATTTGAGTACGAAGGTATATTGTGATGAGGAATCTTCCAGTATGCCAAAAAACTCCATTCCGGCTGCTTTCTCCGGAATCGCAAAAATCGAGGGTGACCTTAGAATTATGAAACGCACTGTATGTGGATGATTTCATATTTAAGTATACGCCATAGGAAAACACCCCTTGTTAAGTCTAGGAATTGGTAAAATCGAACATTTACTAAGTCATTATTGAAAATGCATCGGGCGTACTGTTGTAAAGTTATAATCAGAATTAAAAGTCGCACATATCCTTTGTCTACGCATGATCCGCACGAAGAGCCGTAGAACTCGGAACACGGACAACCGTTTGCTGAGCTGATTGAAGATTTCTTTGAGAGTCCCCTTCGGTTGCTTCTTTGCTACCCGTACCCGTTTGAATACGTACTTCTGATGGCACAATGACGATAGGAGTGGGTTTTCTTTCAGCAAAAATGGCTTCTCTCTGAAAAAGTCTAATTTAGAAAATGCATCAGCGAATGCTAGTGGCTTTAGCTTTCTGAAGTATCTACTACATACCAACTATCCAACAACTATCAACAAAACCCCATGTGCAGTATGCACAGTTACCAGAGGAGTTCACGCTGAAGCGCTTCCCTAGGTTATGGTGATCACCAATGGTCTTCCCTTGAACATTTCTGAGTGGGCTGCCTGGGTTTACGGAAACTTCGATTAAAGTAACGGAAAATGGTGTGGTAAAGTCGTACTGAAGGCAAGTACAAGGCAATTGCAGACCTTGGACCAAGCTGTCTTCTATCAAGTGAATATACCAATAACCGTCAAGGTTATTGGTTGGACTGTTTAGAGCAACACTAACCAATAAGTACCCCAGTTGAGAAGTAAGGCCAGTCCAACTCTGTTCTGAATCACTTCAGTTCCCAGCCTCATCCACCGTATCTTTACCTATGGCCCTTTCTGCTTTCGAAAACTACATATATAATCTATTACCCTTCTTGGTTTTTCTTTTATGTTGTTTTTTCAGCGTATACCTTCATGAGTTAGTGATACTGAAGGGTCGGGTAGAATAGGGGTGCAGTTCACATATCTACCACAGGCATTTTGACAAAATTACACTTTCGCAGAAATTGGTTCGCGAATAGTTAGCAGTACTGGAGAACGTGTGTGGAGGCTGCTATACTTGCAATACTGGGTGAAGGATCATCGAGAAGCACGTGATCACCAGTAAGAACCTCTGTTTCTTAGTTGCGATTCTTAATGGGATCATTCGCATTGATATTGTAGCACTCGGTTCATTGGAAAGGTTCAAATTAAACGTTGTTCCTTTGAACAGTGCAGTCTGAACTCAGTTGTTTACACGCTGTCCTGCGGTAGAAACAAGGAGGAGAACATGTTCTGCATGGTGGAGGGGTGACTCACAAGAGAGTGAACTTTTCAATCGTTTAGGAGTTTTGTACATTCGGAATTTGAAACTCACCCGGACCTCATGTTGAATTGCCACTGTGAATAGGACTGCTATTAATCCACATAATATAGTCGTGAAAATCCAAAACTTCACTTGCTCCGCACTTTTTGACCCTGGTCCTGAACAGCTTCAGCATTGTCTTTATGTTTCAGATATTCCACGAAAACTTAGGCTACTTGGTAGAGCCCTGCCAAAGGGTTTTGGTGCTCAGACAATGTCGCACTAATAACGGTGGTACTCGTTGCTAATTTTTGATTGTTGCCAAGATTGAAATTGCGGCTTCGAGCACAGAGGCTTCTAGCCGGAGCACCATCTAACGCCGATAGGATGGAGCAGTGCTTTATCGTAACCCATGTTTTGTAAGCAAAGAGAAAGGAGCAGTGGCCGGCGATCTCGTGCTGATTAGGGCGCGCTCACATAGTGCTCAGAATTCACTAGGCTTCTAAGTAGGCAATTTTCTCAACCGGAAATCAAGCTTACCTATGCAGACCTCGTTTGAGATGGACTCCAACTCATGCTTACTGATAAGTCTCAGGCTGACTTTGTACGAGAAGCATTCCCGAAATGGTGTAAATCCACGAAGGATACTAAACTGAAAACATTTGAAAGTAATATGTGTCTTAGGACAAATGTTAGAGTATGCGACGAACTAGTGGAACCAATAGCTAAGCTAGAAATGTTCACCACTGAAACAAGGTCCCTAGCTGAAACTCCCCTCAGACTTTTCGTTTTTTGTTCGTTGGCTTTGACACTTTACACCATCCACCCACTGTGCCAGTACATTCGTACTCAACATCTACATCCCTTTTAATATAACATGTAAAACACGATAACCCCCTGAAACCTGAGAATGAAATTACTCGGTAGATGTTTAACCATCATGTCGCCATGTACAAAAGCTCAGGTATTGCATTGGAAACTCGGAAACAATCCGTGTTAATTCATCAAGTGAGTAGTCTAACTTGAACTCAATACCGGAATTCATTGAAGATATGGATGATATGGATAAGGTTGGAGATTAGACGCCCACAAAGCACCAGCATGGGTTCAATTACATTTCGAGAGTAAGCGCTTTGCCCACATCTCCAACCTTGGGGTAACGGAACTTCTCCCCGGTTGCGGACGTTCGCTTTGCGGCATGCGGCAAATCCTTCTTAGTTGTCTCGGGACTCTAAACTGCAATAACCGTATTCGACCCGCCTTCCCGCCAATCGATAGGACGCAATATTTTTCATTGACTGCCTTTCTTTTTCGATTGATTTCGATTGTTTTTTCTCTTTCTTTTTTGTTTTTATGTTTATTGGACTTGTTTGTTGGAATGACTACTTCTCTATTGTAGGTAAACAAGACCGCGTTGGAATTGAAATTACGACCAGCGAATTCAAATAATTAGAGGACTCCCTAACTCACAGACTGCGCTCCCCAATCTTTCATCGCAATTCTGCGATAAGCGGCGGGTGTGGCGAGCGCGATGTCGTGTTCGGGAGGAAGAGACCGGATTCCTCAACCTTGTGAGGCTTCTGGATGACATGCTATCGAGGTTGAAGAGGTTGTTACAAAAACAATAACCAAAACAAGCGGAGTGTCTCGAAAAGGCCTTTTAGGACCGCAAGGGAGCACGGACCTATGAAATCGGGCATCTATCACTGATGCGTCTTCAAAAGGTCATCACAACTTAGTCTAAGCCACGAAAAAGAACTTACCCCTACGCTCCACCTTGATCTTTGCTTTCCACTTCCAATTAGCTCCCAAGTTTCCTGACCCTGGAAATCTCACTGCAGTTTACGAATATGATTCATTATTCATTGAAATTGATAACAGAAGAATAAGGCTTCATAAAGGAAGGGATAATAGAGGTTGGACGAGATTACCATGCCGTAAATAACATGGAGTTGTTGTAATTGCGCAAGGAATGACTACATCAAGCAAGAACTGAACAGAACTACCTTCCACTGTTACTATGGGCCATGACAAATTCTTTGATCCCCCACACTGACTTCCTGGCGATTTATGCAGCATTTACGATGCCGGGGAAACTCGTCCGAGGATACACACGATACAATCTTTGAGACTTCATAAAGCCCTATCTAGGCTGTTTTCGGGTATGACGTTCCACATACGGTATACGGGGGTTCTACAAAGTCATTCTAGCGGGATATCTCAGAATTCATTTCCATCGTAAACTACCCTTCAATGTCGTTAAATTTTCTGAAGCCCCGGTAAGACCGTAAGGCTTATGGTAACTCACTTCGAAATTGGTTACAGTGAACAGATGAACAGCCGCTGCATTACTGTATATAAATTCGTCTGCTTTGGTATGACAACGTCAGTAAGAACAAACAGTCAGACGGTTCCCGTTTAGCCTTTTTACGGCATTCAAAGCCAACGCAATTTAGACCTTCCTTTACCGAAATTCTGGGATCAAAATCCTATCATTTAGTTAAAAAGAGATATGACAATACAACCCAATATTCACCAATATTCAGAATCTGTCCACGTAAGGAGAGGAGTCTGGTGTAGACCGGGTGATCTGACTGGTAACACGTAGCGCATCGGAGCGCAACTCTTGTTCGTAGCTCTCAAGGGGTGTTGACTCAAGTAGCAAAGCTCCTCACTCTTGCGTGGGTCACAATTCATCTTTAAGATTCATGAATTCACCGCTCAACCTTATGCTACATTAGACCACCGATATCGAATAGGGAGCAGTTAAGTATATCAGCTGGTTTTCAACTGAATTGTCTCAGATTTCCGCATAGAAATTGAAAACATATGACATGAAAAGTTACTTTGTATCTACGGCTCACCTTATGCTACATTAGACCACCGATATCGAATAGGGAGCAGTTAAGTATATCAGCTGGTTTTCAACTGAATTGTCTCAGATTTCCGCATAGAAATTGAAAACATATGACATGAAAAGTTACTTTGTATCTACGGCTCAGATTATACCGTTCGACCCATTTGCGATCGTAGTTAATTGTTACAACATCGTACCATCCGTCGTCCACATAGACATGAAATGACGATGGGGCCTAGGAAGAGTACTTTTCTTACCGTTTCTTTCACTTTTTGGAATAAAGTACTCTTTTGAACAATTATCAGGGAAAGCGGAAAAGTTACCTCGTCCGCAAACGGATTCCACCTAGAATCGACAACTTTTGTTGGAAGGTATAGACGAAAAGAGTAGAGCTGAACACCTACTTTTCCTCTGCTCGGCTGCCTAAGAGCACTGAATAAAGGGCGAATATACCTATAAAAATACCGGGTAAATCATAGAAGTATTTTTTTCTGGTGCTCATCTTACATTCCCGCGTGTATGTGATGTGTGTAAATGCATGTGGGTATGTGTGTATGTGTGTGTGTTTGTGTGTGCGTATCAGGAACATCGCAACTGCTATATCCCTGCACGTAGTGCAATGAATTTTCAATGGGACGCAGGAAACAAGATGGAAACACACATGCAATGTGATAGAGAGTGCTAATAAGTTGATATAAGCGGAATAAATAAATAAATAATTTGAATGAATAATAGTATTGTCTTCTAAAACTCGTTTACTTACAACAAGAAACTTGAATGACGGAGGTAGGGCATTCACTACAGTGAAGGAAACGAACAATTACCAGCCCTTCATACTTTACATAGTAAATTCGCTTTCTTCAACTTACCAGTACATATGTAGGTAATGGGAGGAATATGAAGGAAAAGGAATAGTTTGTGCATGTGGTACCAAGTATGGGTAGCATTATGCAATCAATCACCATCTTTTCTTTCCGAACTAGTCTTAAAGAGATTCGGAGTACAGTGGAGTGTGTGGGATACATTCCTAGTGGTAATTACGTTGTCATTGTGGGTTGGAAAGGATGTGACCGTGTTTTCACGATGTTATTGCGGTGGTTAGGGCGGTGGTGGTAGTACAAAAACCGCAGTTTCACTGATGTTGTGGATTTCAGGTCCTGAATCTGGTTCAACAGGGTCACTCTTCCAAAATCAGTAGGTATTGGAATCGAATGAGAAATAAGAAACACAAGGTGCATATGGGAGATCCGCGATAACATTGTATTGCTGAAAACTACTGGCTATTAGGTTCTGAAAGGGAGTTGAAAGCACGGACAGATTCCAAAATGGGTTGCACCCAAACTTTCAAAAACCATTATCCTCCAACTTCTATACTGTTATTTATTAGATCTCTAAACTTTGGAATGCAACGCTGCCCACCAAATATCGTGTGTTGCTGCATAAAATGAAGTGAATTCGAAAGAATGAGAGTTGATATATTATTGGAATCGAATGAGAAATAAGAAACACAAGGTGCATATGGGAGATCCGCGATAACATTGTATTGCTGAAAACTACTGGCTATTAGGTTCTGAAAGGGAGTTGAAAGCACGGACAGATTCCAAAATGGGTTGCACCCAAACTTTCAAAAACCATTATCCTCCAACTTCTATACTGTTATTTATTAGATCTCTAAACTTTGGAATGCAACGCTGCCCACCAAATATCGTGTGTTGCTGCATAAAATGAAGTGAATTCGAAAGAATGAGAGTTGATATATCATGTGAAAGGATCTTCTCGACTGTTTATTAGAGGAAGGTCATTATCCAGGCAATAATCAGCCGCTGATTCTGAGCAATGAGAGTTGATATATCATGTGAAAGGATCTTCTCGACTGTTTATTAGAGGGAGGTCATTATCCAGGCAATAATCAGCCGTGATTCTGAGCAACCCATCAATATGGACGAGATGTAAACCGCAGTAGGTGGTTTCGAACGCTGATCTCAAATCTGTGTTCCAAATCTGCTAAACGATTCGGGGGAACTGAGTTACGGGGCCAGTCCCTCCCTGTGTTATACCATTGCACTGAACGGATCACCAAGCCTAGCAAAGCCTATACCTGTGGCATAGCGGATACTGTGGCAGACTGATAGGTATGACTTCAAGGTTTGTCCCCTTGGTGCATGCGCTCGTTTTGCTTGTCGACAAAGTGTGTCATAAACGCTTGCAAAACGTTTTTTGGGATCAATATTGGCCATCCACGGAGCGTACTGCACTTTAGGATTCTGGAGAATAGTAAACCAATAAATTTTTTTCACCTCAATTGTCGAATATATACGCCTCTCCACACCAATTTCATGATAAATCTTTCCAACTTATCCGCTAACACAGGCTAACATAGGTAGACATATCGGCCCGCTCGTTTGCATCTGATAGTGACGACCAGGTAGTACATCACACTTTGTCGAAGATAGACTAATTTGAAAGCTCACGGCCTCTCATACTTGCCCTAAATTTCCGTGTACGGCACTCCATCGTGATGATACAAAACGTGTTTTTTATGTACGAGGAAGTGCGACTGCTTATGACACTCGAACTATAGAGGACTATGGACTCTTCCTGCAGCGCCCTAAAATTAGAGCTCACGGGCCGTATCACAAAGCTGAAGGCTACTTTTTACTTAGGAACCTCATTTCCTCATTTTCCTCAAACGTACGAGGTTTCTTCCGCTAAGTTACGGATCCATCGTCGCTATCATCATCAGGCGACCACAGAGGATCATTGTGATCGCCTTTCACGGGCTCGATTTCCTCGCAGTGG